AGGCAGGTGCCTTTGTTCAGGTGAGAGATGGTAGAGGGTGGGACGGGCCAGGTAGAAGGAGAAAGATGCTGGATTGGAGACATACTTGGGCAACAGAATTAGATGAAACTTGGTGAAAGATCTGAGGTGTGGTAAGGAGAAAGGGCGAAGAAGAATCGCCCCTAGGTGTTGGCTTCGCAACTGGGTCAAGGGCAGAGTCACTTTCTGAGCTGGCTCAGGGCAGGGGGGAGGAAGAGGAGCCGGCACCTCACCAGGCCTAGCAGGGCACCCGCCTCCCCAGAATCTCTGATCACCACCAAGCAGACCCACGTTCCTACCCCCCGTGCTAGTGGCAAGTTGCCGATGGAAGTGTGGTCCAGGTCCCTTCCACAGACTCCCTGGATGGGCATCACCTTAGAGCTCCCCTTTGAGCATGCCATGCCCTGTCACAAGCCTCTTATCCAGATGGCCCTGAAGGGCCTCTGGTGACGCCCTAAAGAGCACTTCCTTAGCTCTCTGAAATACCCCCATTTGGGTGCATTGTTAGCCACCCAACCCCAAATCCAGACTATCCCAAACGCCCTCCAAATCTGATGAAAACCCAGCCAGGCGTGTCCATCCAATGAGCTCACACCCCACAGAAGCACCAGAGCAGCCTCTGCGTGTGCCCGGACTCCCTGGCGCTCACCTGGAGGCTTAGCTCAGTCAGCAACCAACTTCTGCTTCTACAGAAAAGAAAAATATGAAGTCCCCAGACTTAAGAGAAAAAGGGCACAGGATCTGATGAGCTCAGGGAATTACCGCCTGGAGGAAGAAACCCAATTGTTCCAGCAACAAAAATGGACCTATTTGCAAGTTGTAAATGTCATCACTGGAGGCAATTATCTCGAGGGTGTTACATTATTTAAACTTTTTTTTTTTCATTATTGGAAAAGCAAAACACCAACATTATCAAGCAGCCAGAAGCTACATCTGTAAAAACAAAGCAAATTTTAAAAATCCCTATTTTCAGCACCTCACCAGCCTGACCTTTGCTATTTATTGATAATAATGCAGTGGCATTTCATGGCTTCAGTAGTCTGCTTTTCCTTATTCAAAATTCCCTCATGAATAATTCTGTGCTGATCATTGTCTTTCTACAATATCATCCTTAACAGCTGCATAGTATTACCTGGTATCAAAGTGCCGCTATTCCCCCCAAATCTTGGAAATGTGGGTGCTTCTAATTATTGCTTTGGTCATATCCATCACTTGGTGGGCATCCTTCGGCTGACATCTCTGCAGAGGCCTAACCACCCCTCAGGACGAATGCCGAATGCCGTAGGTGCCTGCTTGCAGCCCACCAGACACACGCATTCAGACTTTTGATGAAATTGCCAAGTAGCAACGACTCTGTTCTCCAGTCTGTAGACTCTGACACAGGTTTCCACATGCAGCACTCTGATGGCCTCTCTTGCACCCTACAGTCTAGAAGGTGTCCTCTCCGAAACTTCAGAATGAAAGTGATCACTGCGGTGACCTTGATGTGCCATAGTCTTGACACCATCTCAGTTTGCCCAGCGAGGGGGTTGGGGGAGGGAGCAGGCAGAGGGCTGCTGAGGCAGCGGGGTCTGACATGGCGCCTGTCTTTCGGGTTTCCAGGTTGAAAGCCTGCAGAATGTCATGAACTTTCTTTTGCCCACTGTTGTGCTTCCCAAGGTTAATGGTAAGGAGCTTCGGAGAAAGGATTGATTTTTGGTTCCCTAGGACCGAAAGTGGGAGGGGCTCATTTCTTGAACCACCTAAAACCTGGCCCCCGTTGAGGGCTCTGGCCGCCTCATATGAATCCCAAATGGCATGGGAAAAAACACCAGTGGGAGCCGAGTTCCTACACCTGCCCACCCATTACTTCATCCAGACTTTACTGCAGCTCCAGGAGATTAGAAGATGAGCTGTCTCTAGTTTTCATGGAAGGAAGTGGGAGGTCAAGGAAGTTAAGTGGCTTGTTCACATCACAGAGCAGATGGGACTGGGTTTGATCCCAACTGGGTTTGATCCCAGTGACCTCTTTCCAGTTCTGGGAAAAGGGCCAGGGAAGAAGGGTAAGGTCAGCTCCCCACACTGGCAAGGCCTGCCATTGCAGAGCCAGGGACAAGAGCACAAATAGAGGCCACACATGCCATGTGACTAGAATATTTAGAAGTTGTAAATTAAAACAATGCATCATTAAATTGATTGATTGATTGATTCCCCTACTTCCCATCCTTGAAACATATAGCTTCAAAATGACCCAGGAGACCGGGTTTGAGTTTACAAGTCTCTGGAGGTCCAATTCAAATGTGGATCCCTGCCCACTACCCATCTCTGGCTTATCCTAAACATTGAAGGTCTTCTTGCACATATGAGGAGGTAGCCTCAAATGCATGGCCGCGGGCTGGCCACACCCCATGCAAGCAGCCACCCCAGGTATCACTTGGGCCTGGTGTTTGCCAGCAGTGTGATCACCCCCAGGGGGGCAGTGATGGAAAGGGAGGACCATACAATTACTGGGTGTGGGCTTAGGCCGGAAATGAAGGGCCCCAGTCCTTGGGTTATGGTGGAGAAGTGGATGGGAATTCCACGACACCTCTGGTCTGGACTCACATGCCCATCAGTCCCCCACCCAGAACCAGGCTCCAGGGAAGCTGCCTCTCCGCCCTGCTCCTGACGCTAACCTCTGTTACAGCGAGGCTGCAGCAAGGCTTCCCGCTCCCCATGCCTGCCCATGTCCAGCTGCTCAACCTGCTGCTTCAGTCTCACCAGGTAAATCCCAAAGGTCTCTCTTTGTCCATCTTCTTTACTAATAGCAACTGTTGCAGGAAGCTTCATCTAGGCAAGCCCTGACTCAAGTTTTCTACCCTTACAACAACCCTGGATGATAGCTGCTGTTAATAAACAGGAAGGGAGACAACGTCTCAGGAAAGTCAGCTGAACGGCTACTCAGTGAGCCAGAAGCAAAGGCAGGTGTCTGCCCTGCACTTGGGGGAAACCCAGCTCGCTGGGTGGCCACGGGGCCTCTTTCACAAGGCAGACGTGTTTAAATATTGACACATATCTTTTATAAATCTTCTGTGCCTTCTGCCTCACGGTAGGCTGGCAGGGCATGAAGTGTGGTCAGTGTGGGGTGGATTTAGATACAAAGCATGTGTCCCTCCTCTGGCCTTTCCGCCAGCCTAGGCCCCAGTAGTATGTGACACTATTTACCCCATCATGGCATGTTCCTGTCTCAGCTTCTGAGTCTTGCTCTGGTTTTCCAGCCTCTTCCTTCCTCCTCCCTCTCCTTCCCAGAGGGAGTTCTCAGGGATCCCTGCAGAGTCTCAGCTCCCGAAATTGGCTTTCCCCCTTCACTTTCACCAACCTAAGAGCCACCGTGGTGCCATTCTGGGACCCAGCCCTGTCTCTCCTTTCTTCCACTCCCCACTGGCATCAGCAGAGCCTTCACCCTGTGACCCCAACATCTGGCCTGTCCCAACAAAACTGATGTCTGCCACAAAACCAGCACTCAAGCATTTCCCTTGGGTTCCCTACACTGAACTGAGAGGGAAAAGCAAAGACTCCCCCATGGCACAATTCACTTTCTTCACTTCTGAAAATCTGAGTGAAGGACACAAAGGAGTCAAGGGAAATGTTTATGCAGCTTTGATCGGGAGCAAAATCTCCGTGGGCTACCCCAAGGCTCCGTGGGCTACCACAGGCGGATGGCAGAGGAAGCCTGCACAGCGGCCTTGGGGTCTCCACCTGAGAAGGAAACAGCCGCAGGAGCTGCTGGCAGAATCGGGGTGGGCAGCCACTGGTGTGCACCCCCGGGGCAAGACGGGGTGGGGTGGGGGTCCAGGCTCATCCAGCCTCTCCATCAGCCCCATCCATCAGCCCCACCCTGCTCCTCCTTCCCGCCAGGCAGGCTCTGGAAGTTTCCCTCCAAAACCCAGCAGAGCAGCTCCACACTCACAAACAGGGTGCCCATGCAGCTGTGACAGTGTCCCCATCTCTCCTAGGACTTCCTGCTGGTTGGTGCAGACGTTGACTACAGCTGAAGTGGCCTGGCGGTGGCTGTCGGCCGCCCAGGGGAGGGGGTGGAGCACCCACCTTTCCTCAGCCACCCTGCTCTCGCTCTTGACCCAGAATCCCTTGAAGACTCTTCTGCATTCAGGTTCAAAAATGATCTAAACACGCGAAACTTGCTCCCTGGAAAAGTGGGGGTGCGAAGCCCTGGATGTCTTCCGAGCGCTCCAGCTGCATGCACATTTCTAGGAATTGTGTTTCCATTGTAAGCACAATACTTCTTTTTGTGACATACACACAGCAACCTTTGTTTTTCTCCAGGGCGTTCTGTGTGATGGTTTGTTTCTTGTCTCATGTCCATTCATTCCATGGTTGGCTATGCCTGCTGCCATGGCGGTCCACAACACAGCTACGGTCACCTCTTTTGAATTCTCTAGTTACCTCTTGAAGCCCCCCTTGCCTCCTAATGTCCATTTTTTTTTAGGACACCCCTCATTCTACAGTGTCCCAGAGTACTTGGGCTCAAAGGGAAAGTCTTGCTTCCTGGTAGCATCATTTCAGTCCCCTGGACTGTTGTTCCTGCCACTGCCTCACGGCGCGCTGTTGAGCAATGATGCTGTTGCCTTCCTGGGTCCTTACACACACACACACACACACACACACACACACACACACACACACACACACGTCGGCTCCATTGTGATGTCTCCCTTAGGCCAAGCTCTCTTGCCTTGCCACTGTGCCCCAAACAGAACCCTGGGCCAAGGGACAGTCACCCTTGGAGTAGCCAATCACAGCCTCAGCTGCAACTAGCACTCCCCCAAGTTTCTCCGGGCTGGTGTGGGCCCAAGTCTTCAGCCCAGGGCTCTTGGTGAATCTCCCTAGGGACACTGGGCCACTTCCTCCCACAGGGCACAAAGCAGACCTATGGCCACTGCATGGGTCCTGATGCCTTTGTGCTGTAGATTGATTGAGGACTCTCAGATGGCCTCTGCGGCAGCTGACATTTAGTCTGAGACCAGGAGGGTGACCAATGACACGCTGAAGAGTATCAAGCAGGCAGTGGGGTATACGGTTACGGACCAGATTTAGTTTTTAAATGTCTCGTTGTGGCTGTGAAGACACTGGAGGAGTAGAAATAGAGTCTGTTGTTATCATTCAGAATCCATCCACAGTGATAGTAAAATGGAGAAACATTTGCCATGAGGAAAGCAGATAAAAGTCGTTTTAATTTTTTTTTATTTTAAAAACTATACACACTTCTGCTAATCTCACTGACTCTCTGTTAAGTGGAGGTAAAAGCTCTGGGGCCACCTGGGAAGGGAGGATGAGGCGCGTGGAGATTCCGCAGAGTCCGTCCGTCCCACTGTCCACCCCCCAGGTGGGAAGGGGCCGGTTCTCTTAGACTCTGAGTCGCTCTCCCTGGGTCACACAGTGGGCAGGTGGAAGCGCTGGGGTTTCCACTGTCTCTACCAGCAGAATCCATGCTTTTCCCGCCCTACCACACATCAAAATCTTGTCTGGGACTTGACATATTTAAGGCAGGACGAGTATGCTCAGTTGCATAAGGTGTGTGCTATAGAAACATGAGGCTAAGGGAATAAAATGCTCCTCTAATTTGGCCACAGAAAGGGTGCATCTTTCTCGATTTCCCAGCGGTTCATGGGATTGCCGAGTAGGCACAGAAGAACAGACAGTGACACTAGAAGAAGACTCTGCAGAGCACAGCATGGTAAGACTGCGAGGCCTTGAGATTGTTCAGGACTCTGGATTTCGTTCTGAAAACTAAGGGAAGCCAAAGGAGTGCTTTGAGCAGGAGAATGATGAAAACCAATTTACAATTTTATAAGACCCCTCTGGCTGGTTTGGGGAGCAGAGCTGGGAAGTATAAGGGACACCACTCTGCTGCCCCCCAACTTCCCTTTGTTCTTCTTTTTTAAAAGATTTTTATTTATTTATACATACAAGAACTTGGGTACAGGTCAGAGGTGTGGGGGTGAGAAGATTCCCCAGAGACAGATTGGGGAGCAGAACAGGCAGATGGAGTGAAAGACACTATTGAGGGGATCAGCAGGCAGGTCAGCAGAGTTCTGCTGTGCCATATGGGCCACCTCCCTGCCCGGGGATCGAACTCAAACTGCAGTGGCTGCAGACAGCCTCACAGCGCTGTGCTCTAGCCTGTTGTGCCACCAGGGAGGGCCTCTCCCATCACTCTTTTACAGGTAGTTGGCCTCTCCCAAACTTGCCCTCAACTTTCAGAAACATTCTAGCAACTTCCGTCCCCCTTCCTACAGGAAAAATGCAATATTTCTTGAGCCTAAAGATTGATGAGTGGACACCCCTTGCCCTGGAGAGGGACATACCTCTCTCCAAAGGCTGAAAAATAGGCAGCTATTTGGAGCTATGATTAAAGATCATTCCCCAGCACATTCTAAATCATCGCCTCCCTGCCTGCAACACACTCTTTGGGCTGCTTCTCACTTCAGGCTAAGCGTCACCTGTTTCACACAACCATTAAAGGGGATGGAACTCCTATTTGGGGGTGTTACAACTGTTCTAGAATTCAGTTGTGGTGGTCGTTGCACAACTCTGCGAATGTACTGAAACGGCTGACTACCCACCTGCAGTGGGTCAATACTACCCTGTGGGAAATACCAGTCAACAAAGCTGTGCAGAAGGAATTACCCAGCTGAAAGCTCACTGTTGGAGCAGCTTCCCTTCTGGGTGAAGCAGTCTGCCTTGGGGTTCCTTTTGGAAATGGTGACTTCAGTAAGAGCGAAGGGGACCCCATGAGAGGAGAGACTCGGGTGGGTCACGGGGAGAGTAAACCCTGTGTTCACCATTTCGCCTCACCCCATGAGTGGCCACGAGTGGCCTGCCCTGCGCCAGTCTCCTCAGAATGAGGGGCTCATTGCACCCTCACAGCAACCTCAAAAGGTCCATGGTGGGAAGGGAGTCCCCCTGTTCAGAGGAGGAGTCTGGAGTTTAGGGAGGTGATGTGGCCTGCCTGAGGCCTCCAAGCTCAGCCTGGGCTGCAAGCAGAGTGTTTGGGCCCTGGTTTCAAATGTCATTGGCTGTACAACTCTCCCAGTGTTGCTTAACCTCTCTGATCCTTACTTCCTCTGAAAAGCAGAAATTAAACCTCAGCCTCCTCTTTCACAGGAGATAGGTGGGAGGAGTCAGTGGTCCAGGTAAGAAGCCATGTCCCCTGGTTGAGAGCATGAGCTGTGTTCCAGACACTGTGGGTTCAAATCCCAACCCTACTTCTCACCAGCTGTGTGACCTTGGATGGTTAACTCTCTGGCCTTCAATTTTTTCATCTTTAAAGAAAGGAGGACAATAGTACCTACCTCCTAGGGTTCTGTAAGTGTCAAATATACGTGAAGGACCTGATCGTGAGCTACCAAAGTCAGCTCTGAGCATCAGTAAACCCAGTGCTCTTTGCTATGCTGGAAGGACTATCTGGCTTGTCACAGGTGGGGCCCAGGGCTGGCACAGAGTAGGTGCTCAATAAATACTTACCTTTTCAGCATACTGCTGAATCCGCATGACTCAGCGTCACTACATCAGTGGTTCTCCAAATCTGATGTGGAGCTTCCTGTGTGGACGGCCTGACGCCAAGAACAGTGCTTCAGGCCGGCCCAGAAATGAAGGGGTGCAGTGTGACCTGGGCCCATCCTTCTCCTCGCGAGGTCTCAGTTGCCCCATCCATAAAGCAAGGACCCTCTGGAATTCCAGGAAAGGAATAAATAAAGTGTGCTCTGGCAAAATATTAAAGAATGTCTTCTTGCCGAGAAATTTTCATTTTAACAGACGCTCCTTGGGGTCCTCAAGCTGTCAAGACCCAGTGAATTGAAGCTACTGCTGGGCTTTTGGCTGCTGCCAATTGCAGAGGCAGAGAGGAGGTGGAGGGAGAAGTGGGGAGGGGGGTGCTCAGGCTCTGTAGGGCCCCCTGGGTGGGGGAGGGCGGGTGTATCCACACAGCCATTCCCGCTCTTGGAAGGTCCCTGGCAATCTGAGGAGGTGACCCAAAACTTCAGACAGCAATGGCTGGTCACTGACATTATGATTTTTCTTAAGAAAAATGCCTCAGGCTGTGTGTGTGTGTGTGTGTGTGTGTGTGTCTGCAAGTTATAGTGGGACTTGGGGGGAAGCTGCCATCTATATCAAAACCTCAACCCCAGAAAACCCTACAGGGATCCAGAACTGGGTCTGCATAGCATCGTTCTCACCCAGCCTGACTAAAGGATCTCCAGAGTGTGGCGCCATCACAGAACGCTGCACTCAAATGAGAAGGAACCCAGCTAGAGAACAGCTGAGTGTGGAGGGAACGAGCACCTCACTTAGTCTCTTGTTCTTCAAGCACAGTCCAAGGTCAGCCCCGCCTGATCAGAAATGCAGAGTCCTGGCCCCCAAACGAGACTGATACCAGAATTCGCATTTTGAGTAGACCCTGGTGTGTGTGTGTGTGTGTGTGTGTGTGTGTGTGTGTGTGTGTGTGTGTGTATCCCAGCCATCCATCTGTGAGCACTTAGGCAGTTTCTGTTTCTTGGCTACAGTGAATAATGCTGCAGTAAACATGAGAGTACAGATAACTCTTCAGGACCTGTTTTCCTCTCCTTTGGGTCTATACCCAGAAGAGCTGAATCAAATTTTAATTTTTTAAGAAACCTCCATAGTAGCCCCACCAATCTACATGGCCACAGGTCCCCTTTTCTTTATGTGTAGAAGCTGGGATACACACACAGACACACACATACACAATGGTATTTTCAGCCATGAGAAAGTAGAAAATGCTGCTATATGATATCACTGGTATGTGGATCTAAAAAAGCTGAGCTGGTAAAAACAAAGTAGGATGGTGGTTGTCAGAGGTGGGGGATTGTTATTTAAGAGTACGAGCTTGGATCCACAAGATGCACAGCATAGTGATCACAGACAGCAAAACTGTATGATACACTTCAAATTGCTGGAGAACTCGATCTTAATTGTTCCCAACACAAAAGAGAAGTGACTATGTGACGTGATAGAAGGGGTCATTTCGCATAAGATAAATGCATCAAATCGGTAAGTATACCTTCCTCTTACATGTCAATTGTAGATCAATAAAAATAAACCTAAAAGTAAATAAACAAGATCCTAGGATGATTGAAAAATGGCGTCCACTTCTGCGTGTGGAGGGAAATGAGGATCAGAGAGGGGTGGGGTTTGAGCCCAGTCACACAGCATCAGGAGCGGCCTGCAGGGCCCAGGCTTCCTGCTGCTGGGCCTTCACATTTTATGGCTCCCTCGGGACCTCTCCTCTGCAGAAGCCCTGGGTGACCTTCAAGACCCCACAGTGGCACTCATGGACTTTCTGGGTGAAGGAGTGTGGCTGCTGTGCATTTTCAGTCTTTTTGTGAAGACTGTCCCCACAAAAGACCTGCACAGACTCAGGAGAAGAATTCAAAGCTGTACACAGGGGAGAGGTAACTGCTAAAGAGACACAGGGTGCTGGAATGTCCCCCCGTGTCTGGGCAGGAAACCAGAGTCCAGCTCAGATGCTGCTTGGGATTCCAATTAAGGGGCTATTTGTAGATTGAGGGATGGGATAAGGACACTTGAAAAAGGATGCCAGTGCCCCAGAGCCTGCGTGCACCCCTACACTTGAAGCTGCGAAGCAAAGAGATGGGATGTCCCCCATGTCTCAGAGACTGGAGCCCCAGGTGAGGGGCTGAGGATTAGAACAGCCACTGCCAGAACGAGATCCAAAGGAGGAAGCAGGGAAGAAGTGTCCTGACCACTCTCTTCCTGACCTCTGACCTCTGACCCCGGCAGCCTGCTCTCAGACCGAGTCCTGAGTCACTCAGTGGGTGAGTCAGGATTCAAACTTGGACACCTGGTCCCAGAGCCCATGTCCCCAACTTACACTTTCCTGCTTTGTGTACATCTTTCCACATCTCTCTAGTATGTGCTGCTCGATATTCCAGACACTGCGGTTTCCAAATTCTGTATTTTTCCAATTCTTTTTGACCAACACTTTTGTAATCAGCACACAACAAACACCTTTCCTGTTCAAAAGGAGAGCGTTTTCATAGCCCAGTCACGGCAGCTAAAGCTGTCACGGGGTGAAAGGACAGCCAGAAGAAAGGCAGGGGAGTCTGACCAGCGCACTGCTCCCAGTGGGCTCTACTGGGACCTAGAGGCAGGAGTGGCCACCCAAGGGGGGAGGCCTGTCCTGGGGCCATGCGGCATGCTGCCTGGCTGGGGCAGTCTCATGTCCAAAGGTTGCCGCTGTGGGAATTTCCACCCCTGCACAGCCCCTCGCCAGGACCAGCCTCAGTCCTGCCAGAGGAAGACCGACTTGTGTCCCGGCAGGTCCCACTCTCCAGAATGAACTCTTCCACTGTCCAACCTGGAAAGGCCCATGGGAGTCATTTCCTCGGTCCCCATCATTTCCCAGAGGGAAACTAAGTCACAGAAGAGAAGCCAGGCTGGCTGAGAGTCACATGGCCAGGCAGGAGGTGAGCCAGGTCGGAACTCAGGTTCCCCAACTTCCAACCCAGGACCCCGCCCTTCCCCATCAGGCAGTCTGAGTCAAGGAAGCAGACACCCCTAGCATCCTGGGGAGCTCCTCGGGGGTCCTTGTTGCTAGCCAGCCTTGGTCCTTACCTTTTACTGGGCGTGGACTCACTCTTCCATAGGCCGGCTCCTTGTCATCTTAGGGTCTCAGCTCAGATGTCCCCTCACAGGCGCCTTCCCTGCCCACTGGCTCAAAATGGTGTGTCCACCTTAGAGGCTGCTACAGGACAAGGGCGGGGCATAACCAGCACGATGACTGGCACATAGTAGGTGTTGCCTGCCTGCCATGCTTCCTGATCAGAAAGGATCATGGGAGCCAGACGGCTCAGCCCTGCTCTCCCAGGAGCACCCAGGCAAGCCTGCGTCAGGTGGGGGGGGGGGGAGTGGGAATGGGGGGAGGAGGAGTAGACAGGTTTGTAGCTTTGTGGCTTTGTGGTGGCTCTTAAACTAAATAAAGAACGGTCTTCTTTGATGTTTTAGGAAGCTGTGCCTTTAATGTGTTTTGACACCTGTTTTTAGGGGTAGGCACAAGTAATGTGCCTGAAGAAATACTGGCTATGGAGAGTGAGTCAGGAATCTAATTAACTGTAATGAAAAGGTTTTAAACTTTTTATCCCCAACAAGTCAAACCTTCATATCTACAGTGGAGAACAGGACAGGACCCAGACAAACCTGAGCCAGCAGGAGAAGAGCTCCACAGTATAGAGGATGGAAGGGCCAGGCTGTGGGCTCCCCGTGTTCAGCAGGGGGAGTCCCCATCTTCCCCCCCATTCCAGCGCCTCTTATGACACACTGGCAAGAGACTTTCTCTTGTCACAATCAGTTCATTGTGGCAGACGGCAAAGACCCACACAATTTCCAGGGAAGGGCCATAGGCATCACCTTTTGATGGAAAGTATATCAAATTTGTAGGCTTATTTTTAAAGGACCATAATTACAGAAAAGCAGAGTGGTTGATGCTGTGATGGAGAACATGCTGCAGATTCTGGAACCACAGAGGAGGACTATTCTAAGGAAATGTGGGGATGATCAGGGCAGGCTTCCTGGAGGTGGAGGCAGAACAAAACTCACAAAGGGGAGGAGCCCTGTGGATTGAGTACAGTGCCTACTATCAATTCAACTTTTTCCAAGTGAAACTCTCTTATCTTTATCTACAATAAATATAAATCCCTAGGACTAGCCCCAAGCAAATAGGAAATTTAAAAACCAACAAGCAAAATTCTATTCCTGCCCATGACAACCCCTGCTAACTCCCTTGCTACAAATTTTCCAAATAAGTAAACTTGGTGAAACAAAGTAGAAACACATGATGTGGTGCCATTGAAAACCGAAGAACCCCCCCCCACACACTCCCACTCCAGACCATCTCTGTATCAAGAAGTTGACATGCTAATTTCTACAGCCTCAAGTTAATCGCACAGCAGTGGCTTGAGCCAAGGCCCTCTGGTTGGTCACTGACCTGGGCCTCACTTCTGTGCATGATTCTCACACAGTTCAGCAAGGAACTTCTTGGTCACATCACCTGTGCACTTGACTAAATGATGTACTTAGTGTCTAGTTCCAGAGCAGAATTGCTGTTTCACCAGCCATGCAAGTATTTAAAGATTTGCCATGGTGCCTTCCAGAAAATTTTAACCACCAGCAAAACTTGAGAAAACCTCTCTTCCTGAAGACAGCGGGAGTAAGAGCTAGGATGAGATCTCTTAAAACAGCAACAACAGGGCCCTCCCTGGTGGCGCAGCGGGTTAAAGAGCAGCACTAAGAAGCTAAGGCCACTTCAGCATGAGTTCTATTCCCACCCTGGAGGCGACCCACATGGCGCAGCAGACCTCTCCTCAGCTGCTCCCCTCAGCAGTGTAGTTCATCAGTCTGCCTGTTCTGCTCCCCACTCTGTCTCTGGTGACTTCTCTCATGGCTCCCACACCTCTGGCCTGCACCCCAGTTCTATATGCATAAATAAATAAATCTTTAAAAACATAACGCAGCAGCAACAATAACAAAACAGTGGAGGAGAAAGAGGAGAGAATGTGATGCAGATGGTCCCGGGGCCGGTTTTGCCTCCTAGCCCTGCCAGGTGCTGGGGTGATGTTGAGCTACGTGGCCTCTCTGAGCCTGTCTCTCGGCCTGTAGAGCCAGGCCCTCGTAGCAGCGAGTGGGGGGTGTTTCTGGGAAGTTGGACGTTGCTGGTCACCTGGAGCCAGGCCAACCCCAGGCAGTGGAACCGGTTTCTAAGTCTGACCCGTGACCCCAGGGTGTCGCAAACAGCTGCCCGACCTGCACCTCCCATTCCCGATCTCAGGAGCAGAGCGTCCCCTCACCCCCGGGCTTCCTCTACTTAAGGGAGCAGGCCCAGCGCCTCTGGGACAGTCTGGCCGGCCTCCCTGAGCAGCCAGGATGGGGGTGTCAGCTGGAGCGCTGCTGTCCCTTCTGCTGGCAGTGCTGCTCACGGTCCCCCCAGGAGCCCTGGGCGCCAGCCCGGGCCTGGTTGCCCGGATCACCGACAAGGGCCTGGAGTACGGTGAGGAGCTGCGGCTGCCACTGGACTTGGCTGACCCTCGTGGCGCAGGCTGCTCTGGCTGCTCTGAGGGCACAGGGGAGGATGGCCATCCTCGCGGGTCGGGTTCTGGCCCGGGTCACGCAGGAACTGAGTGACTCGGACACATTGTCTGTCTTCCCTGGGCTCCCCACTGGCAAAGAGATAAGGGTTTGGGTGCCACTGGTTGGCTTGGGAGATGATTCCAGGAATGTCAAAACGGGATTCCAGGGGTGAGCGGCAATGTGAGAGCCGGGGGGAGGACAGCCAGGAGAGGTGTGATTGAACCAGCTGCCACCTCTCCCCACCCCCCTCCCCGACTGTGACTGGACCAGTTTTGCTGGAACGTTCTTGGTAACGTTAGACAACATGTGCTTTAAAACTAGAAGTCAGGGTGGTGGTTACCTCCAGAGGCTGAGACCAAACTGGAAAGGCAGGAGGGAATCTTTAGCACTGGAAATGTGCTCAGTTGGGTGTGTGGACAAATATACTCTGCTTACATGGGTGTATGGACATTTAAGACCAAAAATGACTTTCATAGCAATGCCTTGAAGATTAGTGCCCCTCAGCTACATCATCCTCAGCTTGAAGAATGAACAAGTAGTAAGTAGTAAGTTTATTCTTCTAGCTGATGAATCAAAACCTCAGCATGAAACCGTGCAAGGGGCGAGGGAGCCAAGGTGCCAAGGTATGTGTACCCCACGGCCCACAGTCATTGAGCCTGGGCTGCACCTCACTTCTGTGGAGCCTCCATTACCTCCTCAGTTAAATGGGGTGATAATATCCCTCCTGGAAGCATTGTCGGGAGCCCAGACTGGCGGAGGGCAGAGCAAGGAAAATCAGAGAAGGCTTCTTGGAGGAGGCAAGGTGAGGTAGCAAAGACAAGAGCGGGGAGTAGCCAGAGACAAAGACAGCATTCTGACAGCCACAGCACGCGCTTGTATTAGAGGGAAGAGAACAATCTGGAAAGAGGTGGGAGGGGTAGCCGCTGTCCATGACCCCCCCCCACCCCTTTCCTGAAGGCAGAATCCTGGGTTCTTGATACCTTGATGCACAGAGGGCCTGGTCAATGTTGTTTATATTGAAACCCCAACTCAGGCAAAATTTCCTTTTGTTCCTTTCCACCAGGAGAATGTACCGCATCTATTTAACCAAACTCTCAGAGCCGAACGCGTTGATCCTTTCCATGACTCACGACGTCAGCTTTGCTTGACTGTTGCAAGCATCTGCCAAGTGCCTACTCTGTGCCAAGGCCCGAGCTCAGACTCTTTTCTGTCCTGCCCATCCCTTTTTTGCTTTGCAATGATCTCCTTTAATGCTCATGCCTCCCCAGTGAGGAAAGCGTTGTTAGGATTGCTGTCTGACAGGTGGAGAGCATGAGGACTGTGAACCCGCTCAAGGTTGCCAACTAGAGAGGTACCAACTCCAGGATCCGATCCCAAAATCCCTGCAGTGTCAGGGAGAACAAGAAGAGATGCAGGCAGCAGCCCTCCCCGGTGGAGCGGCTGGCAGACATTGTGTCCTCACTCCAGGACGGACAGGGACATAGCAGCACCAGAGATGCAGAAGTGTCCTGGGTATTTCTCGACACCTGGCCTGCGAGGGGTGAGGGGTCCGTAGGCTGTAACTGGAATCAGTGCTAATAAGGAAGTCAGCCTCTAGGGCAGAAGGACTCAGAGGGAGGGAGGCGGGCAGAGCGAGCTGACTCCCAGCCTTTACCTGTCCACAGCTGCCAAGGAGGGGCTGCAGGCTCTGCAGAGCAAGCTGCATGGACTCAAGCTGCC